GTCCCGACAAAATCGGGACAGGTGGCAACCCTGCATTAATCTGATGTTTCTTTTCCTTCAAATATTCAGTTGTTTGACGTGCTTTATGGGAGCTGGCATTGTCGTGATGACAAATGATGCGACATTTTTGTTCTTTTTCCTTATTTCATCGAAGACCGTTTGGAAACAAATTGTTGTATACCATCTGGAAGACATTAACAATTCTTCGATGCTCTAATGGAATGGTTGTGACATGTCCCAGTGCAACCGAAGAAACAAAGCGATTTTAAAAACTTAAAATGTAACCTACGTATTTCCGTTTATAGCTCTTAAGCAGGGATGTTAGAAAAAAATAATAATATTTAAATTTAGAATATAATTTAAAGTCTAAAAGTTAATTACTTCTTGTAAAGTAGTATATTCATAAATTGTCACGAATTTGCAAATTATAGAACTAAATTCAGATATATTAAGCAGAATAAAGTCGAATGTTAATGCTCCTGAATAAGTTGCTAGTTTGAGCGGCGTGTTGAGTCAAATAATTTAGGGTCCTGCAATGAAAGCAGTTTTAATTGAGTTAGAAGGAAGAGGGAGTCGGAAGAAGAAGAACGATAGCTATAAGTTTAGCAGCTTCCTTTGGGAGAGTCACCATATTCAGGAAATAGATGAATAATAATCGTATGGTTTTGTTTTCAGAGAAACTTTGCATCTCTGGTACGCTGATAAAGTGTATAATGGTGGTTTATCTGTTCAAATTTATTGGGATATTTTTTGCCTAATAAAAAAGGAATGTTTTTTATTCACCATGCTCTTATTCAATATTCTATTATACAGGGTGGTCTGAATTTTATTCAGGAAACTTCTGGCAGCATATTCTGCATATAAAAATAGGTAAAAAAGTTCTAAATGTATGTCCTAATATGCTTGCATTTTTATTTCGATTTTTCCAAATCATTTCGATAACGTCAATATTTAGATGAAAATTGGTGTCTGGGAGTTTTTGGCATGAAAATTTGATTTTGATGTCAATACGACTCCTACTGGTAGGGCGCCATCTACATGTGTTTTTTAACTGTTCTGAAGGTAATAACTTTTATTCGTACCTGTATACAAAACTACCTAGGGTAAAAATATACATCTCTGTGATTTTTATGTAAAATATCTCTTTGTAAAAATCTCTAAGATATTTAGAATGGAAATAGTCAGTCACATGCCATTATTAACGAAAAATAAACACGTTGAGTTTGGAAATTTTTATTTTTTTAAATCAATCATATTTTTTTCTGCAAAAAAAAAATGATAAAACAGTTTTTGTTGAACTTTTGGTACAGAAACATTTCAAATTTATGATCTGTCTAATAACTATTTAGTCAACATCATGTTTAATTATTCATGTCAGTGATGACAGGCATTGATAATTTCGATTCCAAATATCTCGAAAACCATTACTCGTAGCGATTTTTACCAAGAGACATTTTTTACGTAAAAGGCATCGTAGATGTATATTTTTTTACTCAGCAGTTTTATACAGGTACGGACGAAAAGTTATTACTCTTCAAAAAAGTTAAAAAATATGTAGGTAGCGCCCTCTCCTAGTAGGAGTTATATTGACATCAAAATAAAATTTCTCATGTCAAAAAACTCCCAGACACCAATTTTAATCCAAATATTGACGTTACTGCAGACATTATTTGGAAAAAATCGAAATAAAAATGAAACTTGTACACCCTGTATCTCCGAAACTAAGCATTTTAGGACATACATTTATACGAACTTTTTTACTTATTTTTATCTGCAGAATATGCTGCCGAAGTTTCCGGAACCCTGTATACCATTCTCATCGTCATCTTAAAAGCACGGCACATAAACAATCGGCACGACAACTCTGCTCAGATTCATTGTTTAAAATTTCTATAAAATTTGACCTTGACGGCGCCATTATCGTTTCCTAGTCAGGGCCGGATTAAAACTTATCAAAAAATTTCTCATAAAATACGACAGGGTCGTATTAAAAAAATACTGTAATTGACTGAAACTGAATTTTATTTAAACAGCACTTTTGTCCAAACAAATGAATCGTTAACCGCGCATACTTCTCGAAAAGTAAAAATGAAAAAATCAATTAAATATTTCACTGTAGAGAATAGACAATTAAAATTAAAAAACATGCAACTAACAAAAACATGCCAAGAGTTACAAACAAGAATTAAAGAAATACCAATAAAATATTTATTGAACAATATAAAGAGGCTACGTACAAATTATGCCCATCAATGGGCGTAGCAAATTTTATTTATATTCAAATTTCACAAATTAATAAATCCACAATTTTTTTTTGAGAAACTTCTATTTTTTTCATGGCAGGAAACAAAGTAGGTACCGCATTGTATTTTATACGGTTACAAAGTGAATTGGTAAACATTTTAAATTCAAAATGAACAGAACGCAACTTGTACCTTTTGTGGGCCTTATTTATATCTTCAATCAAGTCTTCTCTATTAGCTGCAATTGCCCATGTTCTTGTCCTAAAATGTATTGTTAACTTATTTTTCGATATACTCATTTTATTTACTTTACAATTATATTTAAATTGCCATACTACTGTTTTTTTTCACAACTAAAATATGTTAAAATAATTAATCACATATATACATACCTAATAGGATCTCTAGGAAACAGAAAGAAACTTTTATTGAACAACAAAAATAAAACTACTAAAACAAATTATATTACATAAGAAACGAAAATAAAATTAGAAAAACCAAAAAAATAAAACAACAAAAACAAAATATATCACTCAAGAAAAAATCAAAATAAATTAAGCCGCACGCTACTGACGCGAATCTGCCGTAACTGTGTGTTGTCGCTGAAAAAACACAGTCACTGGTTACTTTCTGTTGATGGAAACGCAACTGGCGGCGTGCGCGAGGATATGCGCGTAGCGTTCCCGCCAAAGCGAGTTAGCCTACCGATTGATTTATATGCCGTGGTAAAAGCATGGTCTCGAATTTAACATGTGTGACCATAGACTTAAAATAAAATATAGACTACACTATTTACATCTCAACGCAGTCAAACAATCTTTTTTGTACACATGTTTACTTCTGGGTACAGTCGACCGAGCCTTCCTCATCCAGCCTATGTTGTCACGTCTTTAATATTATCAATATTTTTTTTCTTATTATATACATATATTGAGATATTAATACTACATTTTTATAAAGTAGGTTTTAATATTCCATAGATGTATTAAATAGTCCTTATACTACTAAATTATAATTCGGACACTATTTGAAAAGGATAAGTTCTTTACAATATGGCAACACCGATTAGAGGCGAGATCGCCTGTTCATTCATTTATTACCTTGTAGTACGTGTCGCACGTATGCGGTAGAGCTTTGTTGCCGCTATCTCCCCGGTTGTATTAACGCATTTTCTTAGCTTGTAGTCCTTAAGTGTTTATTTTATTTACTTTTTCGGTTCAAGAACTATAAAATATGGTTCGCCAGTGCCAAATTTGCAAGAAATTTGACTTAAATAATCCATTTAAGTCTTGAAACGACTTTCGACCGGTAGGC